AGATTAGAACGTCTTTTTCCGAATGTCACACAAATCATTTCCGAAACTTCGATAGCTGATTTTTGTTTCATTTCAAATGCGAAATAATTCTTCTAACATGCCATGAGGTTTCTAAACTGCTAACTCATACAAAAGAACGCGCTAAGTAGAAATTTTGTCAAAACAAACGAACGTTCTTTTTGATGATCATCGCGAGAGGGAGAAAATAGTTCAAATTCAAACAGAAGTTATGATCTTTTAAAACAAAAAAGGTGCATACCTTTTAAAACAAAAGAAGAAAGATCATTTAATCGCTCAACTTATATTAAACGTATTAATATTAATTATGAATTATTAATAAATATTAAAAGATAAAGAGAGAGGGGTTGAATAAGCTCGAAATAATTTGTAAAATGTTTTCCTCGTGATAACAGCTGGCGCCATCTCCTGGATAAAGTGACAAGTAATGGATGCGTCGATTTAAATTTTTGAAAAATACGCATTAATTATTTCATACCTTTATTCTCGAACTCATTGAAAAAAAAAAAAGTATCTTACATCTAGAGATAGAAAATGTTTCTTATAGAAATCTTACATTAGCATTATAAACGTATCGTTGAAAACTGTCCAACGAGATGAAATAATTAAAAATCCGTTTAACAAACATTTTTTTTTGACAGATTTTATTACATTTAATTAACTTTTAAGATATAAATTCAATTTTCGTAATAATTTAAAATATTCGTGACTATTAAATGTCCATATCGATTTGGCAAAACGTACGTACGGTTATGATTTTTAATAAATGATCATTCGTTCAATCCATAGAAAAATTTATTTCAATTTATTTTACATTTTTGATCTTTGTAATTAATCATCATGGCAAATGAACTCATGATCAAATTTTAATAAATGATCTTACACGCACACGTTCGCCGTCACTCGGGTTTAATAAAAATAAAAACAAACAAAAAAATACAAAGAAAATATGAAACAACAACAAAAAAAAGAGAAACGAAGAAAAAGAAGAATAAGAATAAGAATAAGAAGAAGAAGAACGGCAAGTAGAAAAAGAAGAAAAAGTTTGATTCGGTGGCTCGTGGCTCGTGACTCTTGATCGCGTCGACACGACTTGTTTTACCTGGTCGCGTGCTGGACCCTTTCGGAGGAGGGAGATAGAAACTCTCTCTCTCTCTCTCTCTCTGGACAGAAAGAGAAAGAAAAAGAAGAAGAAGAAAAAGAAGAAGAAAAAAAAGAAAAAGAAAGAAAGATAAAGGAAGGATGGAAAGAGAAAAAGGGTTTGCCGACACGCGCCCAACGCCCTAAAGGTTAATCTAAGGAATCAAATCAAAGTACTTTTTTTGTCGGCTTCTCTCTCTCTCTCTTTCTCTCTCTCTGACAGTGTAAAGGCAAAGTAATAAGAAAGACAAAGATAGACGATAGTGGAATAGAAAGAAAAGGATAGAGAATATACGTAAGACAGTTAAATAGAATGAAAGAGATAGAATAAGGGAGAGAGAGAGAGATGGATACACACAAGGTGAAGAAGGGTTTCCGACGGGTCGCATCAAAGACAATATTTAACAGACACGCAGATAGAAAACGCGCATATGCCGCGCACGTGCCGTTACAGGGGCAAGTAAAACGCGTACTTTGTTTGCTAAATAACATCCTCGTGAGTACCTTCAGTCGATCATGGTGCTATATAGAATAAGCTTTTGAGAATACCGCGACTAGCTTCGTACTATAATATAATATATATATATACATATATATATATATATGCATGCATGCATACGTAGATATATAAATGTACCATATATCTATATGTAAGATATGCGGGTATAATTATGCGAACGATAAATGAGTCATGTGTTTTCGAATAAACGAGATAAGAAGAGTACCTACCTCTTTGCCCTCCCCCCCCTCCTCTACCCTCCTACCACCCAGCCCCCACTACTTACTCGTTTTTTATTACACGGAGTTATGAAAGTTGCAAAAAATTTCGAAAGAGATTCTTTTTGATTGTTTAAACAATTCTTTTCTTACTTGTTATTTTTATATGTGTGTATATATATATATGTATATGTATATATGTGTGTGTGTGTGTATATATACTTATGTATTAGTGTTGGTGTACACGTTAACGTGGATCGTAAGGTACTTAAAGGTCGTTGTTTTCATTTCCAGGAAGAGACCTTCTCGAGTTAGTAAACATAGTATTTAAAGTTTTGACATTGATAGGTGAACGCTAGAAATCGTCAAGACGTGTCCAAAGCGTTTATCTACATTGGACGATAGGATGTAACGTAAATGAAGAAACTATTAACAAGATATATTTATATTTATCCTTATATATATATTTATATTTGTACGTATAAATAGATTTATGGAAAATAAACGTTTACTTTCGAAGAAGAAGAATAATAATAATAATAATAATAGATAATAAGATGAAGAAGAGGAAGATATTCCGAATACTTACCTCATCGATAAGAAAAAAAGAAGAATCCTAGTTTAATCGATTTCTTCTCTATTATATGATCGTCTTATTATCGTCCTAGAGATTCTCAAGATTCAAAAATATCATTCAAACAAGTAGATCAACTGAATATCACGAATTACTTTATCATAATAAGGTATTATCACTCATCCAAATAATACATATATACATCTACATACCTATACCTTTATTACACAATGATCAAAAATTAATTAGATTTATAATTCAATATTACAATTAAAAGGAAAAGAGAGAAAAATATCAATTCGTTAAGAATTAAAATAAGAACACGGTAGAAAACGTGTTAGTATTTTCTATCGTATAACAAGAACAAAATCAGATTCGTATTAGAATAAATAAGAGATCAATCGATTTTGGATTCGTTAAGGGTGGACGAAAATTAAAATAGACGATGAGGTGGGTGGGGGGTATTAGATACTGTTGTGGGAGGGTTGTACGGAAACGTTAGTAAAAGATTCGGATATCTTTTCGCGGCGGCGTCATCGCGCGAACTAAAGAATATCGCAGTTGTAATTAAGAAAACGGAGCCCGTAGCCGGCGACGACGCCGCCGTCGAGGATCCAAGGGGGTGGAAGAGGCAAGGGGCTCACTCAAACGAACCTCGGTGGTGTAGCCCTGTAGAAGAAAAAAGGTAGAAGACGAGGAATGAAGAGGTGTAACAGAGAGAGTGAAAGAGTGAGAGAGAGAGAGGGGGTGGTGGTTGGTTGCTTCCTACGTTAAACGGGGGTGGAAAAGTCTGTGAAAAACGCGCGCATGACAATGCTATCCCCACCAACATCCCCCTCTAACCAAACCTCCCCTTCCTTCCTTCCTTCCTTCCTTTCTCCTGATTTTTCCTATTTTATTTTTTCCCTCTCTTTTTCTTCTATCTTTCTTTCTTTTTTCTTCTTTGTATTTTCCTTTACTTTTTCTTCCCTTTTCTCGTTTTCTTTCTCTAAACCCCTACAACTCACCCACCCCCATCCACCCCTCCTACTCTTCATCCTACTTACTAACTTACTCCTCCTACCTTCCTTTTTCTCGAGAACGAAGGTCGGCATCGGGGCTGCCGGCTGACTAATTAAAAATTCAACCGAAGAGTTAACCGAAGACGTTGCCCTTACATCTTTTTCCCTCCCTCTCTCTCTCTCTTTATCTGTATTTTTTTTATTATTATTATTTTCTTTCTCTCACTCTGTTATATTTTTTCTTATTATTTTCTCTGTCTCTCTCTCTCTTTCTCTATCTATCTTTCTATCTCTCTTGTTCACTGTTTTTCCTTCCTTTTATCATCTCTTGAGATTCTTTCTCAAGCTTCGACTTACTCTGTTTTCCCTCTTTGATTTCCGTGCTCGCGCCACGCGACCACGGGATCACCTTCATTGTTTTCATTTTTCTTTTTCTTTTTTACTTCTATACTTCTATTTCTTCTTCTTCTTCTTCTTCTTTTTGGTTTCTTCTTCTTCCTGTTTTTTATAATTTTTTTTTTTTCTTATTTTATTCTATATCCTTTTTATCTTACTCTTTTTTTGATGACACAAACGAATGAACGAAACAACGTCTGTTTAATACGTTCTTACGATTAGGATGGTACTTTTCTATTCTAACGTTGACTTTTATGTCATCTATCTATCTTTGAGATTTCTAGTTTATTTTTTATTTTTCTAATTAATTATTATTATATATTATTATTATGATTTCCTTTGCTTTTTTTTATCGAAAGACAAATTTTAGGAGAAAACATTCTGTATACTTTAAATGTTGCGATAATTTTTATCATGATAAATTTTGTATCGTTTTATTGAAAATATTATACGTACGATTAATTATATTAATACGTTTCGTTTATAACTTTTTACTTAAAAGTATTCTTAGTTGAGACGAGAGAGAAATGGCGGGTAAAATGGGAAAACCACGTGACCACGTATATTAGTTTTTCGTTTGTTTGACAAATTTTACACGCGTTTTTTTTTATCTTCTTTTTTTTCTAATATCTAAAATTAAAATTACCAATATCGTAATTTTAGAAATTTTCACCAGAACAACAACAAAAATATCGAAATATCTTAAAAGTCAGAAATTTTTCGAATAGATATATCTCAACAATGTGTTTACGTTTCTTTTTTTTTTCTCTCTCTCTCTCTCTCTCTCTCTTTATATCTCTTCCCACAGATAGAAAATATAGAAAAAGGGAAAAAAATAAGACAGAGACAGAGAGAAAGAGAGAAAGTGTGGAAGAGGTTCAGGAGTGGAGGGGGGGGGGCTGGTTAACGACGACTAAGATAAAAATGTAAACAAAGTAAGAAAAGTAACTTGCGTTGAGCGACGGCCGATAGAAAATAAACGATGACGACTATGACGACTTAAGGTAGAAAAATTCGTGAGTAAATTTCTAAGGATAAATATCATAGATAAGAATAATCGACTCAAACGAACTAAATATTCAATAAGAAAGTAAAGAAAAATAAAATCAAATAGAAATAGAAGAAGAATAAGAAGAAGAAGAAAACAGACTCACCTTGCGCGATCCTGACCGCGGGCATTTTGATCCTCATGGTGCCGACGTGGTCGTTCCTCCTTCGGATCCTTGTTGCACTTCCAAGGTAGTTTCCTCAGTGAGGGACCAAGAATGGACGAACGAACGAACGAACGAACGAACGAATGAACGAACGAACCAACGGATTGGACAACGTTGAGGAAGGAAGGAAGGAAGGAAGAAGAGGATGATATCGTTGGTCCTTCCTCTTTCTGTTGATCCTCTCTCCTCCTCACTTTTTTTTCTCGCGAGGCCGATAACAGATGATTAAGAAAAAAAAAAAGAAAAAAAGTACAGAAAAACAACCATATATATATATTTATATATATATATTTATATATGTATTCGACGATAAAGGTATAAACGGATAATTTTGATTAAGAAGATAATAATAATAATAATAATAATAATAATATGACAGAGCGAGAGAGGATGACAATGACGATTATGATATAAAGTAATGTAGAAGGGAAGGTTTGGAAGGGACAAAAAAAAAAAAATAAAAGATTGTCCTCGTAATAAATCTAACACACGTTTCACGTTATTAACGTCTCTCCGTTTGCCTGACGGGTTGTTATTATTGTTGTTGTTGTTGTTGTTATTGTTGTTGTTGTTGTTGTTATTGTCAAAATCACGTTTACCACCCCTCACCTCCACCTCCTTTTCCTTCTTATCAAAGGAAAAATTTTCTTGTCCATTTATTCTATTTGATATAAAATTATATCTATGGTATAATTTTCCTCTCGAAATGTCTCTTCCCTTCTTCTTCTTCTTCTTCTTCTCCTCCTCCTCCTCCCCCACCACGTCCACCTCCAGTTTCACCACCTCTCTTCTACACCTTTTTTCGAATACAAGGAAAACAAACACACTACTTGTCCAAAATGTCTAGCACAAAATTTATTCTTCTTCTTCTTCTTCTTCTTCTTCTTTTGTTTTTCGTTTCTTCTAATTTTTCTTCTCGCAGTCCGAAAATTTAGAAATTAACTGACAACTCTTATTCTTCTTCTTCACAGTTTTACGACAAATTTAATTTCACAATGATCGTCCGTTAACGATGTCCTTTTGATCCTGACGTTGTCAACAACAAACGTTGACTAGCCGCCGTCGCCGCCGTCGCCGTTTTCACCGCCGACGTCGCCGCCACCACCACCACCGCCACCACCGCCGCCGTTTTCTTCTTCTTCTTCTTATTCTTCTTATTCGTAATCTTCGTCGTTGTCAACTAGTAATATACTCGTAACGGCTCGTGTCCCTCATAGTCCTCGATTGCGTTTTCCGCAGTCTCCCGCTCGCGAGAAAATACGACACACCACCACATCAGTGACACGCGAATGCAAATATACAGAGAGAGAAAAAAAAAATAGAAAAATAGAAAGAAAGAAAGAAAGATAGATTATGTATATGGTGTTCGAGTAAACTTATCTATACTCGTTTCTTAACACACAATAAAAATCAAACTTGTATGATACTTTCGATGATAGATAAAGATAGACAGAGATAGTGAACCCCAGTCAATGTATATATAATATGTGTGTGTGTGTGTATATATATATATGGAAGATAGGAGGAGAGAGAGAGAGAGAAAGAGAAAGAGAGAGAGAGAGAGAGAGAGAGAGAGAGATACAGTCCCACACAACGAACGTGACCGAAGTGAGGAGGAGGAAGACGACTGACCGAAAGCGATCCGCAGGTGTCGAGACGCGTCGAGGTGTCGGCGGCACCTCTTCCGCCGCACTCGCGAGCGCGGGTAACACCACTTACTAAATATTACTACTACTACTACTACTAAATGGCTACTACTTTACTATTAACTTTTTCTTCTACTACTAACACAACAACAGCTGCTGTTTGACTATTATTCCTTCTCTACTGTCTTTATTTCTTATTCGTTTTATTTTTTCTTCTTTCTCTCTCTTTCTCTCTCTCTCTCTCTCTTTCTTCGTTTTCGTCTTGATCTTCTTCTTTTTCTTCTTTTTCTTCTTCTTTTTCTTCCCCACTATTATTTGTAAATCTCGTTCTGAATAATATTCAAAACTTCATTTCGCATAATAATAATAATAATAAAACGTCATAGAATAATATCACACCGATTATCACTAATTTCCCCTTATTTCCAAAAATTAATCCGCTTTGTCTCTTTTTATTTATATATATATAATTTTTAATAACAATCTCCACTAATACTTCTTTTTCTTCTTCTTCTTCTTCTTCTTCTTCTTCTTCTTTTAATCGTTATTAATCCACGTTATTAATATTCGATGTTATATTTCAATAACAACAAATTATTATATTGTTTTTCTTTTTCTCTCCCCCACCTCTCGAACTTTATTTATTCGTTCTTTATTTATGGAATTATTTGATAATAAGTCTTTTTAGAAACAAAAAATCGTCGACAAATATTTCAATGACAATTATATTAAGATGAATTAAATGGAATATCTTTAGAATTGATATCGCGTTGACGACGGGCACGAGGTTGGTTCCTGGTGATTGGCTGATACCGGCACCGTGGACCAGAGCGACGATGGTCCAGCATGGGTCGTATCTCTGAGTGGACTGTGCCGGACGGTGCGCCGTCGTCGTCGTACCGTACGGGACCTGGTGTGTCTCGGGCACTGCGCTCACTTCGGACGCGCTCGGTTCGGCTCGGCGCGGTGCCGAGCCGCCGGACACCCCACGCGCTCTCTCTCGGGGTAGTTTTCACCCCGAGCTTGGGTGGGGGTAACTATAACTCCCCTCTCTCGATATCCCCTCCTCCCTCCCCCCCTTCTCCTCCTCCTCCTCTTTATATCTTTCTCTCTCCTTCTCTTGCTCTATATATATATATATATACATTTATATGTATACGTATATATAAACGGATATACCTGTCTCCTTCTACTCCCCACTTTTAGATACTATCTACCTTCTCTCTCTTTCTTTCACTAGCTCGCGGTAACTCACTCCCACTCGTGCTAACATTACACGCTTCGTACACATGCGCGAACGTTTACATTCTCCGTATGTGTATGTATCTCCAGTCGTACACTCGATCTGTCTGTATGTCTGTCTGTCTGTTTATCTATCTATCTCTCTCTCTCTTTCTTTCTTTCTTTTTCTCCATGTGATGATACGTGTAAGAGATGGACAGTTTAGAAAGAAAGAAAAAAAAGAAATGATCATTTCAACGTAACACAAAATCAAATTTGTATTGAAATATTTTTATATTTATCGTCTGTCTATCTATCTATCTATCTAACTATCTATCTATCTTACATTAGTTTAATATTATTTTTCGTTAGAAATCATGAACCCAATGAACGATTATATAATTCGTGCAACGTGCTGCATCCGTCTTTCGCTTGGTAGATTTATGGACCGATCGTGCGATTAACTATGCACGTTCTCGTCGTCCTAGTCGTCGTCGTCGTCGACGTCGACGTCTTCGTCGTCGTCATAGTCATAGTCATCGTCGTAGTCGTCGTAGTCGTCTCCTTAAACTTCCCGTAAACACGTACCAACGGAATCGTAGAGAAAGTGGAGTAGAGGAGCAAACCCGAAGGAGAGGTAGTACCTGCTCTCTCACATTAATTATTCCTACTTGGGTAAAACAGCGTACCTAGTGTGCACGAGTTAACGATCGATAACGACGTTCATCGCGATCATCGTGATCCATTTTCTCCCTTTTTTTTTCGAGTTTAACTTTTTCTTTTATTTTATTATTTTCCCGCGATATTCTTTTCTTTTTTATTTTTTTTCAACATTATCCACCTGAATTCTTTGGTCAGGAGAAGAATAAAGGTAAAAAAGAAAAAGAAAAAAAAAGAAAAGAAAACAAGATAAAACGGAAACAGATAATTATCCTTTCGGAGACCTTTAATTTAAAAAAAAAGTTTTTCCTTCTTGTCTCTCGGAGAAGAAATTATTCCGTTTCATTTTTCTTCTTTTTCTTCTTCTTTTTCTCTCATGGTAAAAGAATCTCGTTTGGAAGTGACCAACGACGAAAGTTGACCGTGCGTTGTTGAGCTTCCAAGTGACTTTTCAAAACTCTTAGAAATTATCTCCATCTCTCTTTCTCTCTCTTTCTATTTCTATCTTTTTCTATTTTAAGGGGTCCTGGATAGCATTTCCTAGACCCTTTGCAGTATCTACTTGGAACAATCTAGGAAAGGACAACGACGTTGGGCATTTTAAAAAGATCTAGTACGTGCCTTTGTTTCGGTGGATAGGATTAACGCGGGAATCGAAAAGTCCACTTCAGTTTTCTCTCTCTCACTCACTCCCTCTCTCTCTCTCTCTATCTTTCTCTTTTTCTTTCTCCTTATTTCTATCTCATTCCCATCGTACCAGTCATCTCAATGGAAGGAATCGTTCTAACTGGCATTCATCGATATAAATAATACGTATGTATAAGTGTATGTAATATGTGTATATGTATATTGTTCGTCGATCGGGCAGCATTGAAAATGCGGCAAACGTTCGTTCGATCCTTCTTCGATAGTCGATAGAAAGGACCTACTACTACCAGCCACCACGGTCTTTTGAAAAGGGCAATGGAAGCGCGCGGCACGCGACTTCTAGCTAGCGCGAATTTAAACTCGGCAAAGTGTTTCGCGGTCGAAGGTTAATCCGTATTCTTTACGGTCGACGCTCGCGTAAACTTTAGTTTCTTCTTTGAGACGAGGACTCCCTTCTTCTTCCCTCGTTTCTCGCATTCGTTCCATCTTCGATATACAATGATATATATATTTGTGTGATGGAACAAGACATACTTATTCATTTTTAACATCAAATTTTGTATATATTCTTATTTTTATACAATATTTTTTTTTTTATAGAAAAAGATAATGTAATATTTTTCATGGTAAAAATATATTATTATTTAATTGATAATATTTATATTTAGTGTAATAATAGTTATTTTATTATATCTTTATTCAAATTCACAGCCACGAATAGGTACTTCATTTATTATATTATAATAACACTTCTTTTTTTAACTATTTTATTTATCATTCTTTTTATTAACTTCGTACATTTTTATTGATTAAAAATCAACTAAGTATAATTTTAAATAATAAATATAAAAATATCTCTCTTTAAAATGTGTGTAAAAACAAAATCAAATTAAAGAGTAATAACATAGAAATCAAAATGAAAGTATACCGAGTTACGAATCGCGATAATTTGACCCTAGAACGTTTAGCGTAAAAATGAAAATCACTTATATGTTTAATGAAATAATGTTAGATGAAATAAAAAAGACACTTATACGCGATCTACTTTAACTAACTGGTAGATTTTCAAGGAGCGTTTTCTAAGATCTTATCGTTAACTTGGAATGCATAAGTTATCAAGGTGTTTATTAGGAGTAAGCACGCTTCGAAAAGAGGAGGATAGATAGATAGTCCAGGTATAGAAGAGAAGGGAGAAGAAGGAGAAATTCCAAGTGCATCGTAGAAGAGTCGTATCCTTAGGAAACGCAAGCAACGATCCGTTGACCCGTGTGAAACTCCCACATTCATTATCCAGCGAGGCCACCGTTGTCTTTCCTTAGACTCGCAAGTTCATACACATTTTTCCACAAAACTCTCGGCACCTTTAATATTATCCATATGTAGTTTTTTTTTCTTTTTTTTTTTCTTACGATTCTTTATATATATATATGTGTATCTACAAAATTGCTGTTATATATCATCAACGAGAATAACATTATCCGGGTTCACTCGATTGGGTCAATTTAGAAATAAATTGCAATTTATTCAAATAAAATCCACGAAGGTATATACAGCTTGGAATATTCGGATTGCTCGGAAAATTCATACCGATTTATATATATATATATAAATCGGTATGAATTTTCCGAGCAATCCGAATATTCCAAGCTGTATATACCTTCGTGGATTTTATTTGAATAAATTGCAATTTATTTCTAAATTGACCCAATCGAGTGAACCCGGATAATGTTATTCTCGTTGATGATATATAACAGCAATTTTGTAGATACACATATATATATATAAAGAATCGTAAGAAAAAAAAAAAGAAAAAAAAACTACATATGGATAATATTAAAGGTGCCGAGAGTTTTGTGGAAAAATGTGTATGAACTTGCGAGTCTAAGGAAAGACAACGGTGGCCTCGCTGGATAATGAATGTGGGAGTTTCACACGGGTCAACGGATCGTTGCTTGCGTTTCCTAAGGATACGACTCTTCTACGATGCACTTGGAATTTCTCCTTCTTCTCCCTTCTCTTCTATACCTGGACTATCTATCTATCCTCCTCTTTTCGAAGCGTGCTTACTCCTAATAAACACCTTGATAACTTATGCATTCCAAGTTAACGATAAGATCTTAGAAAACGCTCCTTGAAAATCTACCAGTTAGTTAAAGTAGATCGCGTATAAGTGTCTTTTTTATTTCATCTAACATTATTTCATTAAACATATAAGTGATTTTCATTTTTACGCTAAACGTTCTAGGGTCAAATTATCGCGATTCGTAACTCGGTATACTTTCATTTTGATTTCTATGT